GAAAAGGAAAGTTCCCTCGTTGGTACATATTAAGGTTTGGGGTTGTGAAGCTTTCGTTAGACGAGAGACTCACGACAAGCTTGAACCTTGAAGTGAGCGATGTATTTTCATCGGCTACCCACATAAGTCCTTCGGATACTTGTTCTACAGACCTAGTGAGAACGTGGTCTTCGTAGAACGAATGGGAGTTTTCCGCGAGAGGGAACTCATATGCAAAGAGGACAATGGGAGTATGAGTGATCTTGAGGAAATTTAAGAGTCAAGCGATGAAGGAACCTCTAACTCTAGCGCTCAAACCGAGGAAAAAATTCATGTTGAACCCATTGACGAGTCGTCACCTTTTATGCGTTCCACTCGAGTTAGAATGACACCAGAGTTTTATGGTTTCATATTACTACAGATAGTAATACATTTATCAGTGATAGTACACTGGTATATTTGGATGAGCCTTCTAGCTACAAGGAAACCATGACGGGCTCTGAGTCTACTAAATGGAAAGAGGCAATGGACATCGAGATCCAGTCCATGTATGACAATCAAGTTTGGAACTTGGTTGACAATCTACCAGGTCGCAAGACAGTTGGGTGCAAATGGATCTTCAAGAAGAAGACCGACATGGATGGAAAGGCGGACACGTTCAAGGCACGACTGGTTGCGAAGGGCTTTACTCAAACCCCAGGGGTTGACTATCATGAGACCTTCTCATCAGTGGCCAAGATCAAATCTATTAGGGTTATGTTAGCCATAGTTGCATTTCATGATTATAAAATCTGGCAGATGGATGTCAAAACCGTTTTCCTTAGTGGGAAGCTGGCTGAAGATGTTTACATGCAATTGATCTATTTTTACTTTGAAGGGAAACAAAGAATGGGCCCTGTTTTTTATTACTATATGTTCCATTAGTAACATTCGTTTGTAGCGTCATTGTGTATTTTAGTTGTGTTTAGTCTTTCCCGGTTAGAAATCATATAGGAATTTTTTAGAAATGGATTTATTTGATAGGTTCATCAATAGTGTTCGGCCAGAATCCATTTTTGACTCTGGACCATGGATTCTACTATTATTAGTGAACAATACAATAATGGAATATTTCTATCATAAAGATAAGGGATATCTTTTGCCCCGCCATGCCACTAGATCCATAATGACCGGCGAGTCGGAACATGTATGAATATAACCATGCGGAGTGCCGTACCGACCTATCAAACGAAGAGAAGAAAGAGATCATTGAGCCTATTTAGCCGAGCGGAACCCTTTTCAAATAATATATATATATATATATATATATATATATATATATATATATATATATATAATAAGCTAAGAGGGATGGGAATCGCAAGAATTGAAAAGTCCTCCATTGAATGGGATGAGAAAGACAGGTTCAGAAATGGCCAGATTAGCAGGAGGAAGGGCGGCCCCACCCTGAAACAAAGGTGTATGGACATAAATAAAGAGACTGCTTATGGCCTTGATAGGGCTCCTTCCCATCTATCTTGACCGAGAAGAGGGGGGAGGCTCTTGCGGAAGCCCTGCCCGCCCTTCTCTATTCTATTTTTAAGATCCCTGTGAGGATGCTTTCCGGACTTGTAAAAGAAGGCTAGGAACAAGAATTGGATCAGTAGTCTCTGCTGTTGCAGGTCCTTCTTCTTCCGCTGAGATGACCCTCTTTTTTGTTTTGTTTGTTCACCGCGGCACGAAATCATGAAGAAGCTGGAATAACTCAGAAAAAGAGTGGTGCCTAGCCGTTGAGAGCGTCTGTTTTCTTTGTAGAGGAACATTATGATCTTGGACTAGCCCCCTTCGTATGACCTAGAACTAAAACGAAGTTCGTGCTACTATAAGGCCTCTAAACTCCTCCCTCAGGACACTGTTGCGTTTCCAATGGGGACGGGCTAGCCCCGACTTCCATAGGTCCTTGGTTCGACCTCCTAATCAAAATTGAGGTCCTTGCACGGGCGTCTCATCCCTAAGACTTGTTTGCTCTGTATGAAGTGCTTCGTGGTTCCTTGAGTGCCAGTCGCATTGAGGAATGCCATCAACTAGGGCGCTATTGGCCACTAACCACTCGCTCGCCGGACACTCAGGCTCCGCATTTCAAGTTCGTTATCCTAACTGTATCCTCTGCTCCACTGGGAGCCTGACCTATTCTTCTATCTTATCTACTACCTTGATCCTCGGCTCCATACTGCTCCAGCCGCTCACTGTAATAGCTTGCTTCTCGGGTGGCTCGTACCCTGGGTGGTGCGGCTGAGCCAGAGTGGGCTCAGCAGTCGGCCTATCTTTCCGGGTGCAAGCATAAAGGCATGATTAGTTCCACAAATCTCACTACACTGACCATCACCTCAGATCAAGATATTTTTTATGACTTCCATTCCACTTATCGATCTCGGCGCATAAAAGTGACCGACCAGGGCCCTATTGATGAATAAAAGGCTTTATCAGCCCTGTAAGCCCACACATGTGTAGAGTGGATCGTTCAACACCTTCGGCACAAACCCATTTTTGACCTATTGATCCTAGTATCATAGGCGACCGAACGGCCGCCCCCTAATTACTAGACTGACCTGCTATAATAATTCCATAAACACCTAGCGAAGATATGGCAAACAAATAAAGTATTGATCTGACAATAACATACCATAATCAAAAGGTACAACGTCCCGAGCGACCAGACTTAACATAAATGTAGCCATTGGATCCATTCTAAAAAGGGAGAAATTTGCACTACTTGGTGAAATACGTTCTTTTATAATCAATTTAAAACCATCTACTAGAGGTTGAAACAATCCAAATGATCCCACTACATCAGGACCCTTTCGACATTGCACAAAAGCCATTACTTTACGTTCAGCTAGCACTAAAAAGGCTACTCCTAGTAGAAGTGGTAGAATTATTCCAAGTATTTCAGGTGGAACTGCTATGTACATTTTATATTTTCTATTCACTCATGATCTGGCCTGGTCAACCCGATCATGATATTTCACTCATGATCCGGCCTGTTCGACCCAATCATGATATTGAAGGATGTGACCTTTTCTCGAAAAAGAAAAGGGATTATATTTCTTCTTCCAAGCCCTTCTTAGAAGATACAGTCAGTAAGCTCTCACTTATCTGTTGGATTAATGTCTAAGTCCATAACTATATTTGGTATGTACTTGACCCGACCCGGCATGGTCCATTTGGGTTGCACTTCACCGGCACAATTTATATGGATAGTCTTTTGAGAATAGTATATTTATGATTTATATTAATATATTATAAGTTCTAATATATTAATATGGAATCATATTATTTAATTAGTATTGATCAAGAATTAATTTAGAATTAATTAAGTGATCAAAAAGAACTATTTAAATATGGACTCTTATATATATGGAATGGGCCAAGTTCATTTAGGTTGGGCTAAGCTTTCATGGATGGTCCATGGAGCTTTTAACCCATGGATCCTATGTAAATGAAAGGTCATGGGTATTAGGTTTTACATGGATGTAACCCTAATCCTCCATAATATATAAAGGGGTCCTTGGCTCACAAAATTGGGGACAAGCGTGTGAAAATAAGAGTGGGCCGATTTTAGTGCGCATACATATTCTCTCAAGTTCTTCCAAGGTGTTTTGGTGATTTGTGATTCCATTTGAGGCTTCCACACTATTGGGGCTAAGCTCTTAAAGCTTGAAGACATCAAGCTACATCAAAAGGTATGTCATCTAACTAGAACTTTGTAGTATAGGTGCTTCATAATATGCTAGTTAGGATGAAACCTTGGAATAGTTAATATTTGCATGTATAATAGAGAAACATAGATCCAAGGTTTATAGGGTTGCATGTACACCATAGGAGTGTTAGAATGCTCAAAACCCAACATTATCTTCTTCATTTACGATAGAAAGGTACTCCCCTTTATTTGAATACCCACCTACGGTTTTGATTGTTATTACTTTTGTAGGAGTTATGACGTCATTCCTTGCGGAAACCAATGGAATATTACAGAACTATCTAAAGAGGTCTGATACGGTACAGTACAATACGAGTCAATGGGATGCAACGGGATAGATGGTAGAGGGCTGCCTACGTCCAAAATCGATGTTTCACTTGTCCCCTTGTCCATAGGGACCTCGTGGCATACAACCAAAATGACTCCCGCTAGATAGCCGCCCATTTCTCTCTTTTTACAGCCTCGTGGACGGACGAAAGAAGGTAGGACGCATTTAACAGGTGTGGTTCACCGGTTCCACTGAAAACTCTTATTTGTTGAAGCGGAGGATAGTGCGTTTTAGGCGCCGAGCGAGAAAGGTCTCTTCTTTCGTTTCCATTTATTCACTGATCTGAAACTTAGCACTTGTTTTCTTATTCCAGGGGCGGCGGTGTTCTTGAATGAAGTCTATCCGAACCGAATTAGCACTTCTCAGATCAGGCGAGGCCTCTCCAGCGGAGCGGTTCGCCGGGGCCCTTGATGCACTAGCGATTGGCACATAGGGGAGTGGTTGCCCGACTTTCTCGGCCTGGTATCCTGCACCTCGCATTCATGATATCTACATTCAACTATGCCCCAGAGACACGGTCGAAGCACGCCCTCCCAATGTCCTTCTTTCACGACATGCTCTGGTCCTGGGTGTCTTCCAGTGGTCTTCTAGCGTTAGAAGAAGTCATCCTTGGTTTCGAGATGTAGTTACATGCTCATGATACTATTGTAGTCGACTTAATAGTGATGCACTTTTAATAGACTTTTGGCTACCTTGCTCTCGCAAAGGAGCTTTCTAGCTACTGATCTCCTTGACCATCTTCCTTCTGGTATAAAGGAAATAGCTTCCCGAGAGCCCCTATGCAACCTTCTACTTGCAGAGAGTCCTGCCGATGTAGCTCTTGTTCTTCTTCCTTATCGAGGTCTTCCCTTTCCTCTAATCATCAATTAAAGGGTCATTCAAGTCTTCACCTTAGTGAAAGCACTAAGTAAGAAAACCACCTTAATGAAATATGAAAGCGACTGTCTGGTCCGATCATTTAGCGCCTCTTTCTAAGAGACAGGAATGTATATAGAAAACATCCCCTGGGAAAGCCTCACGGCCTGGTGGTCGGTGTAACAATAATGACATTTGTCGATATGCCACTGCATGTTTACTAAGATCATCATAGATTATTAATGCGTGCATTCCATTATCGCGGAAATATTCCCCCAAGGCACAACCAGAATATAGGGCCAGAAATTGCAGAGGAGCAGGATCCGAAGCGGTGGCTGCTACAAGAATGGAATACTCCATAGCATTCGCTTCTGAAATAATTTGAACTAATTGTGCCACAGTTGAGCGTTTCTGTCCAATCGCTACATAGATACAATACAATGTCTCACTCTCAGAGGTGCTCCTTGAGTTCATTTGCTTTTGGTTAGACAGAGGGTTTTGTGGATGCTAAATACCCCAATAGAGTGTGTAAGCTTGAGAAATCAATCTGTGGATTGAAGCAAGCTTCTCACAGATAGAATCTTTGCTTTGATGAGAAGGTCAAAGAGTTTGGCTTCTCTAGGAGTGAGGATGAGTTCTGTGTATATGTCAAAGTTAGTGGGAGTATAGTTAGCTTTCTAGTATTGTATGTTGATGACATACTGCTCATAGGAAACGACATTCCAACCTTGCAGGAAGTTAAGTCCTGGCTTGGAAAACGTTTCGCTATGAAGGATCTAGGAGAGGATGCATATATTTTGGGAATAAGGATTCTGAGAAATAGGAGTAAAAGACTAATTGGACTTAGTCAAACTACTTACTTGGATAAAGTGCTAAAACGTTTTAGCATGGAGAATTCCAAGAAAGAACTATCCAGAGCAATACCAAGCTGAGTAAGACTCAGAGTCCAAGTACTGATGCCGAGATGGCAGAAATGAGTCGCGTACCATATGCTTCCGCCGTTGGATCGATCATGTATGCTATGACATGTACTCGCCCTGATGTGGCTTTTGCTTTGAGCATGGTCAGCCGATATCAAGGGAACTCGGGTAAAGCCCACTGGATAGTAGTGAACAACATTCTTAAGTATCTACGAAGAACAAAGGAATGGGTCCTTGTGCTTGGTGGCAGTGATGACTTGAGAGTTACTAGTTATAGTGATGCCAGTTTTCAGATAGACCGAGACAACTTCTGTTCTCAGTATGGTTGGGTGTTTACACTCAATTGAGGAGCTGTAACTTGGAAAATTTCCAAGCAGGAGACCGTGGCTGATTCAACATGTGAGTCAGAGTATATAGCTGCGAGCGAAGCGTCAAAGGAGGCTATATGGTTAAAGAACTTCATTGGAGACCTTGGAGTTATGCCAGCCATAAAGGAGCGCATGGAGATTTTTCGCTATAATGAAGGAGCGGTTGCCTTGACCAAGGAACCAAGGGATTATGGAAGATCCAGACACATCGACAGAGAATACGACTTCATCTGACATCGGGTAGAAGAAGGACTCCTCGTCGTCAAGAGGGTATCGTCAGAAGAGAGTCCTGCAGATCCCCTCACAAAGGGTATGAGTAGGATCAAGCACGTTCAGCATGCGAGGAGCATTGGTCTGAAGGACGATATTAGTTTTAGTGATCAGATAGATATTTAGAAACTTGTAACAATATAAATGTAATTGACATTTGATGATTAAGTAATGGAGATTTATTTATGAGTATTGTTGACTATCTTTTGTCAATTGTTTATTTTGTGTTTTAACTTTGCATGTTTTACTTCCACAATAATTGGATTGTTCAAATTATCCACAATCAATCATACTTTGGAAGTAAGTATCGAATTAAGGCTGTCATGAATTGGCTTGTAGATTATCTAAGTGTTTAGACATAGCTAATGTTTGCTGCAACGTTCATGAGTACTCCTGAACTGTGGATTTGAGTATTGGATTAAACCCACACTCATTTGAATTACTTCATGGAATTTATCACGAGTAATTATGAGATGATAATGCGTAAACGCATCAATAACTTGATGTTATAAAACGGATTGTTGTGTACGATTTAATGAGTAAATAGTACAAGCATATAAGTCATAGTTTATATGTTCCTTTTATCCCAAGGGGTAAAAGCGATATCTAGGGCCCCTCGATGATTTTTTGTTGACTTATGTGTCGGGCCCGGTCAGGACTGAATTGATGTGTTCAATTAAGTTCCTTGTCATACAAATCAAAAATCGGGAAACAAACTGTTGGAGAATGAGAATGATTCTATTCCATGTCTTTGTCCACATGATATCTTGCAGAACGGAGGATTATATGATCCCTTATCATAAGGACACGTAACTGAGTGGGTCAGAGTTCGACAACGGCTTTGAGAGCTACGATTGCTAGTTAAATTTTGAGGTCATATTTGCAATCATACTTATTAGACTTATCCAAGTGGGGGACTGTTGGATTACGTGTCTAAGCCCATAACTATAATTGTTATGTACTTGATTTGATAGTAGCATGGTCCTTTTGGGTTGCCTTCACATTGGCAACTAGACAGGATGACTATTGGAGAGAGAGGTTGAGTTTATTATTTGGTATAATAATTTGGTGCACAAAAATGATTTATTCATATATTATAAGAATAATATATTAATTAGAAATCATATTATTAATTGGTATTTAATCATAAATTGATTTGGAATTAATTTTGGGATTAAATGAACTGATTAAAAGTACAGGGGCTGTTTTGCAATTGTTTGATAGTTGTGGTTTTGGGCCATTGGATCACCCTTATTAGGGAGGGCCGAAAATCCCTAAAAGGTTCTAGAGATTTTCGTCCAAGCCCTAAGGAAGGGAGTCCATGAAATTGCTTAGGCCCTAAGCTAAGGGATTAGGGTTTTTACCTCAAAACCCTAGCTAGTCTCAACTGTAAATACCCCTCTTGGCTCATGAATTCATGCACATCATAGAAACCCTAGAAGAGCTGAATTTCTGAGCAAGTGACTCCTCTGTCCTCTCTCTCATTTTCATCCTCTTGCCCTAGTGTGTTTGTGAGCCATTAGAGGTACTACACTTGTGGTACTTGTTCTCAAAGCAAAGGATCTTCAATTTTTTTCATTGTTATTACTACATAACAATAAAGGTATGTGATCTAATCTTTCTTTTATGTATTTCGAAATTATTAGATGCATGCTAGGGTTTCCATCTTTGTGTTCAATGCTTGTATGTCTAATAGTGAAATCATACATCCAAAATCAGGGTTGCATGCACACATAGCATTGTTTGCTATGTATAAAACCCATCAATGTCATCTAAGGGAACCACTGCGGAATCATCGGCCAAACACTTCCGCAACTGAGAGATATGAAAGGTATTGTGGATATGACTAAGCTCAGTAGGTAGATCTAATCGATAAGAAACCTTGCCCACACGGGTGATAACTATGAACGATCCAAGGTGACACCTTTCCCCTATTCCGGAATCGGATGACACCCTTCCAAGGTGACACCTTCAGAAGCACGAAATCCCCCAACCTGAAACTAAAGGTCAGAATGTATCGGTCGACATAACTCTTCTGTCTACTCTGCATGGTCGAAAACCTACCACGCACCTGCTGAATCAACGCCATAGTCTTGAGCACTACCCTAGAGCCCCCATGACTCATTGGACAACTTCGCCCCAGCAAATTGTGGTCTGAAATTTCCTCCTATACAACAACTCAAAAGGAGGCATACCAATGTTGGCATGATAGTTATTGTTGTATGAGAACTGAGCTTAAGAAGGTAAGTATCCCAGCTCCCATTGAAATCCAATACACATGCACGAAGAATAACCTCGAGAGTTTGAATGGTCTGCTCACTCAGTCAATCAATCTATGTGTGATAAGAAGTATCGAAAAACAATTGAGTACCTAACTCCTCGTGAAACTTCGACCAGAATCTGGAAATAAAATGGACATCATGGTTGGAAACAACTGAACCCGACACACCATATCGTGCAACCTCCGCCTTGATGTAGATCTCAACTAACTTCTCAGCATATGAACTCTCCTGAATCGAGATGAAGTGGGCTCTCTTGGTCAACCTGTCGATAATAAACCAAATAGAATTAACCCCACATGTCGTCTGCAGGAACTTTGTGATGAAATCCATGGTGATCTCCTCCTATTTCCACATGGGAATGGCTAATGGTTGCATCTTGTTGTGGGGTCTCTGATGTTCTGGCTTGACTTTCCGGCAAGTCAAGCATCGCTTCGCGTATCAAACTATCCCCCTCTTCACGCAGGGCCACCAATAGCTATGTCTCAGATCTCTATACATCTTTGTAGCGCCCAGATGGATCGAAAACTTCGACTTATGTGCTTCATACTATAATGTCTTCCTAACCCCACTAGAAATAAGATGCCACACTCTGCCACACTGCGTATCAAACTATCCCCCTCTTCACGCAGGGCCACCAATAGCTATGTCTCAGATCTCTATACATCTTTGTAGCGCCCAGATGGATCGAAAACTTCGACTTATGTGCTTCATACTATAATGTCTTCCTAACCCCACTAGAAATAAGATGCCACACTCTGCCACACTAAGTCAACAAACTCGACTATCTCTGAAAAATGTAGAAATATGACCTGATCTTTTCTTTCTTCAATTTTACTTCCTCCAACCCCTTAATATGTTTTGCCTTGATCAAATCCAACAGTGGTGAAGTAACAATCATCCTCAAGCATAGGTCTCAGATAAGAGTACTCATCTCATTGCGGCTCATGGCATCGGCCACTTATTGGTTGTCCCAGGATGATACTGAATCTCGCAATCATAAACCTTCACCATATCCAACCATTTGTGATGTCTCATATTCAGGTTCGACCGATCCATCAAATATATTAAACTTTTGTGATCTATGTAGATGGTACACCGGACCCCATACAAGTAATGCCACCAAATCTTGAGGGCGAAAACCACAACCCCCAGCTCTAGATCATGAGTAGGATAATTTGTCTCATGATGCTGTAACTGCCTCGAAGCGTACGTAATCACATGGACCCTCTGCAAAACTACTGAACCTAAACCTATAAACGATGCATCACAATAAACCACAAAATCATCCACCCCCTCGGGGAGGGTCAGTATCCGAGCCTCACACAATCTCTGTCTCAAAATATCGAATGTTGCCTACTGCTCAAGCCCCCCACTAAAAATTGACATTCTTCTCGTCAATCGGTTAAAAGGAACAAAAATCTTGGATAAATCTTGGATTAATCTCCGGGAATATCCTACTAACCTAGGGAAACTCCGAATCTCAAATGGAGACCTCAGAATCTCCCACTGCATCACTGTCTCGATCTTGGTCGAATCGACCAATATACGATCCTTGACGAGGTGACCTAAGAAATGCACTTCACGTAACCAAAACTCACATTTGGAGAATTTTTTCAAAAAGTATTTCTCTCCTC